GTTGTCAAAAGTTTATCAAATATGTGAAAGAAGCTACAAGCAATATTTTATAATCACTAAAGAAATACCCTTTAATTTCAACGTTTGGCAATATTTTTAATGAAACTCACCGGCTGAACATTCAACAACCACGCATCTTTCCACTCTATATCAGTGTAACGTTGGAAACCAAATTTTTGGTCCAAAATTTCTAATGAATGAATTTTTTCCAAACGAGAACCGTAGCTGGAGTCAAATTTAAGGACATTATTACTTTAATCATTACTCATTTAATGAAAAGCTGAATTCGTAGCCGAAAATATATATGCGAAAATAAATAGTGTCAACTGAAATCCGACTTTTATATATAACGAGAAGTACAAAATGCTGGATTTAAATTAATATCCATTTAAGTTTACTTAATTAAAGAGTTGAAAACTGAAACTTAAATTAGTGAAATCAAAATGATTCTCACTTTTCCTGGATGTTGCTCGCCTGTTGATTCATCTACAAATAGATCAGCTTAACCACCTGTCATTACAGTTTTTCAATCTAAAAAAATTTTTATTTTTTCCGTCTGTTTTTTTGGTTCATTTCAAACAATCCGTTGCTACATTTATTCTAAGTCTGAAACAAACAAGTTAACAATGGCATTCAAAAATTATTGGCACATCACCTCGAGTTGCTGCAATTACTTTTTTTAAAAATAATTAACAAGTATTATTTCTTTCTGCGGTATTATGACGAAGCCCATTTACATAAGTTTAAGAATGTAATGTTAACTAACTTTATCAGAAAAGTGAGGTTGCCAGTGAAAAGTTTTACAATTGAGAATATAGTATTCAAATTTCTATGAATTCATCTGGAAGCAAATATGTTAGTCGTTTTATCGCTGTTACTTCAGATCAAGCTGTCAAAAATTGTAGTTTCTCGAGTACTCGGGTAGCAACTAGATGTGTCGAAACAACTTACTAAAAATAAATACACTAAATATAACATAGAGAAAATGTTATTTTCATGATTTAATAAGAAGTAATTCTAAGATAAATTCTAATTTTAAGTTAGAACAGTTAAGTACATAAGAAGTAATTCTAAGTTACAATAATTAGTAAATACATACAACCGGCAAAAATCAATAGGAATATAATTAGCTTAATTAGCACATTCAATAAATTAATCTAACAATACATACAAATCTTATGATGTCTGCTAATCCATTAATTTGAAAAATAACAATGATTGTATACAGAGTGATGAAAACTATGCAACGTTGAGTTATGAAAAATTAAATTTGAAAAATTTGGCGCGTCTTTTATTGAAATTTGATGAGTGACATTGATATTGACAGGAATGACAGGAAGTGTAACATCCTTCAACACAAAAATTTCTGACGAGAGAAAAGCGATAAGCTGAAATGAATCGATATCACACAGAACCAATCAGTGATAATCAATATCACACATACAGTTTTAAATATTTTAATGGGATAAATAATTGTCACAATATACCCGTCATGATATTTGCATGCTATATCGATTGTGCTATCCATATGCAATGATTGATTCCACGTCTGGAGTTCACGTACGCCTTATGTATGTACTGTTTGTTATATGAGCAGAACGTGTTACATGTAATGAATTTATCAAATAATTTGGAACTGTTCAGGTTCCATAAAAATAAAATTATGAAACGTTTTCTTTTTTAGTAAATTTGTAATTATTCTGTTGACGCTTTATGAAAGCAATTGATAGAGACTTTAAATAGATCGTTATTTTACTTGTTGTATACAAGCATTGATATTTAAATTGATGATCTGAAGTTTCGAGAAATTTAATGAACTTAATTGAATTTCCATTCTTTTGGTGGTTCTTTCTTAAATTAACGGATTTTCCGGGATAGAATAATTAATAAATTCGAAATTTTGCTGAGATAAGGATTATACGCACGTTCTATTCGGAAAATTAATACTTTCTCTTTTTAATTTGCCTGATTAACATGCATTGCTAACATGTTTGCCTGTTATAAGCATTATTATATAACTGTATGACAAAAACATGCTCAAATATTTATAGATGACGCAATTTCCGTAATGAGGAATAGATCAGTAAATGAAGGCAAGGAGGGAGAAATGTCGGACAACACCAATATGTGGAACATATTTGCGGGCGTATGCATATATTATCCGCTCTCTATTGGACTTACTTTCTTTCAAAAATGGTTTATAAAGGTTGTTACATGTAAATTAATATTTTTTTAAGTATTGGCATGTATACAATTTTCAGAAATTCAGCTTAAATTTAAGTAATATTTGATTTTGTTACGCTTATCTGAATTTAAAAATTTATATTATAGAGTTACGAATTTCCACTTCTTGTTGTCACCTGCCACTATGCCATCAAGTACTTGTTTGCCATGATTTTTCGATTTTTCATGGAGTATCGCGCAGATAGATGCACTAGGATTTCATTCAAAGATCAGCTACAGTGGCTAGTACCAATTGGTATTTGTGCTTCTCTGGATATAGGTGCGTTCAGCTGTTCAAAATTTAGTGAGTCGAGCTTACTAAAGCTGTGCTTCTTTAATAGTTCTTTTTATTTAAGTTACCACTTTGTTGTCAAGAAAAATTACGTCATAAAACGTGTTGAAATGTAAAATAATGCTTATATTATTTGCCATATATAGTTGTCAGTCATTTCGAAATTTTATGGGTTTGTAATAAATCAGCGTCGAAGATCTGTAGGTTTAAATTAAATTTTCTTCAGGTTTGTCAAATTGGGGTCTTAAATATGTGACAGTAAGCTTTTTTACAATGGCAAAATCGAGCAGCATATTGTTTATAGTTGCATTTGCTATACTGTTGCACTTGGAGCGGTGGCGGCCTGTTCTTGTCATATCTGCGGGATTTATTGCATTTGGCTTATTTCTCTTTACTTGGAGGTTTACTTGCTTTTAGAACTTTTTGAAGAAGAAACACAAGAACTAAATTCAATTATTTTTGCTAATCGGTTCGTAGTAATCATCTGGACGTTTTATTCTTTAGAAATCTTAGATAACTGTTACGGAGTGTGATCTTTTGATCTTATTCTGCAATTAATAAATTGATTGCAATGAGATTGACGTATTGCTTGCATGCAAAGGAAGAAGAGAGGGGACGACTTAATCATTTCGTATTTTTTATATTTTAATATATATTGTATTGCATAAATATAATAATATTAGTCTTTCCAGATCAGTTCAATTCGAACTTCGTGGTTTACTGTTGATTGAATTGGCAGCAGCATGTACGGGATTACGATGGACATTTTCACAAATTGTTATGCAAGGAGAGGAAAAATTACTCAAACATCCACTGGATATGGTTGTATATGTACAGCCGTGGATGTTTCTTGCTATTCTTCCTCTTTTCTTCATTTACGAAGGTAATAGGTAAACAGCACCGTTAAGCAGTTCCAGAGCAGCTATTGAGAAACAAACATTTTTGAATCTCTCTAGGTTTTCGAAAAAAAAAATATATCGCAGAATAGGTATACTTCCAAATTTATATAAACTTTAGTTATGTCTTAACACTTTATTTTGTTCACTTGTTTTTTCCTAATTCAGTAATCTGATTTTCTTGGAAGAGACTAGAAATTGTCATAATTTAAGAAACAATAAATTGTAACTCAACGGAATAGTCAACTAAAGATACTAGAGTGTTTTGATCTTTGAATTATAAAAATCAGTTGATTGCATAATATTTTCGGATGTGGTTTAATAACATGCTATTAATAACATGCTTATATTAATAACATGCTTTAATTGAGTGACATATTTTATCCGACACAGTGCATAATTTCCTTTAGGATTTGAGCCTTTTTCAAATTCCATTTCTTGACTTTAACGTTTGCACATCATTGCTCTTTCTATTCGGTATATATTAAAAAATTTTCAAATTACAATCAAACTGAATTAGGTCTTTAGCTGTTTCTACTGAGAAACAATTTAAAAATGACGATTTCAGGCTCCCATCTTTCTTTTGATAAAGTGACGCATTACCTTAATGAGTACGCGCCATTCTATGTTTTATTTTTTATTTCTTTTGGTGGTTTATTGGCTTTTGCAATGGAAATAGCAGGTAATATTGCATTCATATACTCTTTCGGTAGTCATTTAGTTTGAGTTTGAATTGAGGAAATAGTTTTATTCGTGTATGATATTTTTTCTTGAACTGTAACAAATGTGCATTTTCCTAGGTATGACTGCACTGTAATATAGAGCATTTCCAACCGTAGGGTTTATGTGGCCCTGGAAAGAAGCCGACCGGGTTATCCATCGGTAAACTTGGTATTGGTAGTGGATGATGCTGTTCTTTAATGATTGCTTTTGTAAAGTGATTTATTACTCCAGACGTTTTAGAATATCTTCTTCTCGTATATACATCGGGTATCACATTAAACATATTCGGGATAATTAAGGTAAGTCCTTGCTAAAACATTCTTTTCACAAAATCAATCTTTATTTTACAAACGACTAAGGGAATTTATTTAGCTTATTCAGATATATTTCAGGAAGTAATAACGTTGTCGTTGGCATATTTTATTAATGGAGATTACTTTTCCTTGGTAAGTAGGCTTGTACAAGTTAGCTATTAGATTTTCACTTTATTAGCCGAGTGCATCATGCAGAGCCATACAAGCCTAATTTTAACTGTTTATTTACATTGCAGGTGAATACAGTTGGTTTACTCTTGTGCTTCTGTGGTATGCTTTTGCACGCTATTTCAAGAAGGACATTACTGAAAGCTCGCACAAAATCACGAGCACCGGACACGAGAAGACTTTTGACAGACGTTGATGCATAAATGTTCCCTCATCCCTTCGTCGTTTACGTCATTTTGATCTCTAGAAAGAGAGAGAAGTTTGCCTTTGAAAGCTGGACCAAGTTCTAAAATGAGATTTAAGATGTATACTGTCGACGTTGCCTCCACTTTCTTTGTTGTAGTTTGCGTGCTGCTTGTCCTCATTGTTGTTTCAAGCATAAAAAAGAACGTGAAAGGGAAATGAGGTTTGACATCGTAAACCTTGTCTTGTCAAACGATACATAAATTTAATTCAACCTTTTACTCGACATCACGTTAAGTCGTTATACTCATTTAATAGCTAAATTTCGGTTGTACTGTTACTAGTTGATTACCATGCTTCCAGAAACTGTTTGAGAACTTTGAAAGTGTTTAGCCATCAATGTATAGTGGTCTAGATACCACATACATTACTCAACTGCAATCCTCTTTGGTACTATTTTCCCAATCATGCGTTGATACCATTTTTTGTCTTATCACATGTGTAAATTCCCTCTTCGTAAACATTGAAATCGTATTTTGCAACATCTTAAACTGCTTCACTAGTCATTGCATAATTGTTAGTTGGCAATCGTTACGTCATTATTTCACTTGAATAATAAATAATCGCATGGTAATAGTGTTAAGTTGAGTACAACTGTGGCAGTGATTGATTAAAAAGGATACCGAATGGCTGTGGCAGTGATTGATAAAAAAAAAACGATACGAAGATAGAATCAGATCAACAGATTATGATAATAAAGAAAAGTTGCGACACTAGTTTTACGTAGCTTAAGTATCTTTTTAATTTTATTTGCTCGATCATGAGATGGAAAAGAAATGATGCAAAGAATAAATTTATGGAGAATAGTTCATTTACTTCATAATGTAGGAATGCACAGATCTCTGAAAAAAGAGACCACAGTAGCGTCTGCTAAAACTGAAGACGAGGTATTAATGAAATACATCAAATCTAGAAAAGATGTCAGGTTAGACACCGGTTAACAATATCCATAAGCGAACTAATTAAGAAATCCAATCCTAGCAAGTAACCGTCGTCAGGCCCAATATATCTTACATCATCCAATAAAGTGGAGCAAGTCGAATGAGCAAAATCAATCATTCGCAGATCAATAGATGTATCGTCGCGTTTTCTGCCGTCAAATGCAATCAGTAAAGAACTGGAGAAAAATCGATATCCATCAGCTTCGGCTAGTCGCTGCAACATAAGCACTGATAAGTTAAAGAAACGGAAGGGGAAAAGAGCCATTACAATTCAATCAAAGATGTATGTCGTATATAAGCAACCATTATTTCTATCATTTCCCAAATTACGAAATGTCGAGATAATTTGCATTAATCGGCTTCGAAACAATTTAATGACATTCTTTCTCAAACGCACTTATATCGCGTTTCTTCATTATGTTTATATCGTCTTCATACAATGCAATCACACACCTTTCTTAAAGTGGTTAATTTTTTCAGCAGTGCCGTGCTTCGTATCTTTCCAGCATTAATAAAATATTCAGCTAATGTTTCGCGAAACACTTCACAACTCATTTGTCTGCCCGCATATTTGTTTACATAGACATATGTGCCAATTTCTTCCCTAAACACTAAGTTGAACTGAATTGATATTTGTAAATGTAGGTGAAGCTAGAGAGATTAAATTTGTTCTCAGAAACATAAAGAAAATGAAAATAACTTTTATTCATAAAAATATAATGCGGTTGAAATTCTAATGAGAACATAAGAACGTGGCGTGAACTACAAGATAATTTTGAAGCAAAATCACCTATATAATTGCATTCCAGCAAGACGAATCCCAATGGAAGCGCTTGTGGATTCGCGACATTTATTGGTTTGGGATTGTCGTTTTTGATCAGTTGCATCATCCCCGTATTGTCGCGTGCCCATTTTCAGATCCATAACAGATGGACGTGAAAACCGGGCTACCGTATTTTCTAAGAGCAAAAACAATGCGTAACCCTATAAAAGGGAGGTTATACGATAATTTAGAATGAAACAGAAAATACTATATTCCATCAGGATATATAATTTGAGCAATTTTTTCTTAAATATTAGCAACAATAAATAGAGCACCAACACGATTGAATGGACACTTTTAGCGGGTATCCAACAGGAACTGATGGCAAGGGTATTCTTCTGTTTCTAGAAGAAAGCGTTAAGACCGTTTCCTGGCTGCAATGATAATGTTAAAGCGAAAACACATAGATAAAAAGGAGGAGAAAGTGAAGGAAGAGGATTCACCCTTCACCTTTGCCATAAAATGCAGTATTCGTGAAATATTTCAACCGAATAAGGCTTCCTTTCTCCTTTCTTTTTTTTTAGTGAATGCTCCTCAAAACTTACCTTTAATAACTTTTGTACTGATCTAGTTTGACATTGTTTCGCCCATTCATTGAAGTGTTGATCCGACTCAACTCTACCATTTTTGTTCAGCCGAAAAATTAGCTGTTTTTCACTGGATGACGGATTCTGATGGCACAAAACAGGTCTATCAGTAGTTAATACCAAACTGTCGTCTCGAGAATTCCGTGGTTGGATACTTACTGTGCCTGAATTACAAAACAACAGATTCTTAAATATGAAACTAAGAATTTGAAGTTTCTCATATGGAACAATAACGTAATGCAAATTATTTAACTGTGCGCAAAATTAGCGGAGATCGTCGGGAAGTGATCCAGCACAGCACACAAACGTCCAGACAAGTAAAAAACTATGCCCCTGCACATTTCCGGTTTTTCTGTAGAAGAAAAAATTTGATCTGCTGAATCGATAGAAGTTCAACAATGTGAAATCGAAAGAGCTATTAAACGTGACGTGTAGCCACTTCCGCCATCTGGAAACGCCGAAAATATTAAGAACTCAGAGGTGAGGTGGAATGTCATCCATGATTTCGAGAAGGTCGAGACCAGTTGGTGGGAGTACTACATAGTTGGTGCGAGCAACTTGCTCAACTGTAACAGCCAACATACATTATTATATGTTAAAAATATAAAAAGAAAGAAATTAAACTCAAACCACAACAATGCGCTGTGAATGGCGCAAAACGGTCGCCAATTTCTTTATAAAAAGCCAGTTCTTTTGAATTTAACGGTTTACAAATATGTCCGCCACATGTAAATATTCCAAAGTGTCCACCAACTTGATGCGAGAAGCCTGTCACATTCATTCTGAAAAGTGCAAACAAAGTGCTACTTTTGAAATTTTTTTGATGTACGAATGCGTCACCACAAGGAAAAGGAATTCTTAGACAAAGACAATAAATAATGAACAAAGAACAGATGTAGTAGTATTGACTCGAAGATCCTATGCTCGTAACAACAGTGTAAGCTTTTTCAAATTCAAGGTCAATATCTACTATCCAATATATCAGGGGAGTAATGAAGCAAATACTGCTCACCTCTTTTATAGAGCAAAACAATTATAACGTATTTGTCTTTCTCTAAAGAGAGAGAGACTCTATAGATGGATGACGAACGGAAGAGACATAAACAAATGCAAGATGTATACTGAAAAACTAAAAATAATACACTACCACCTATTTATATGTCTAATTGCACCACTTTTAGACACAACAAATCGATTTATTTTTAACTGTATACACACTTAAACACACTGAACAGTTGTTTTTTTTTCTTTTTGTTTTTATAAAGCAGAGACCGAGTATTCCATTACTCACTTTATTTTATCCGTGAAAAAAGGTACAGAATATTATATGGAACAAAAGAAGATGTAAAAAAATGTTTAATGATTTACGAAATTTCATAGTATTACGAAATTTCACA